CACACACACACACACACACACACACACACACACACACACACACACACACACAAACACACACACACACACACACACATTCAATTATAATATAATTATGTTAAAACAACTAACGCTCATCTGCAAAAAATATTAGAGCACATCATAGCACTGGAACTGCACTGAGTAGTAATATTTTATTGCTTTAGACTTGGGTCTCTGCTAGCCCTGCTTGACCTCAGAGCTGCATTCAGCACTATCAGCCATAGTACAATTGATAATATGTCAAAGGGATTGAGGGTATTGCTTGGATAAAAACATTACCATCTGGTAAATTTCAGTTTGTATGTAAACTTCATGTGTCCTCAAAATTTACTAGAGTGAGTTATGGCATTCTACAAGGTTTTGTGTTTGGTCCAGTTCTTTTTTTCTCTTCGCATGTTTTACCTTTTGAGTGACATCAGGAAATCTAGTCATTTACTTGCCCTGCCTTTTAATTCAGAGTCTCCGAAAAGCTGGTGCCTAACTCTAGCAGTCGCTAACGGGCAGGGTACATGCTGGACAGTTCTTGTCCATCAAAGAGTCAAATGTGGAGACTAAAGAAACAACAATTCACACTCTGTGACAGTTAAGAGTTAACAATGAACAATGCATGATTTGGTTTGTGGAAGAAATCTGGAGTACCTGGAGAAAACCCCCACAGGCATGGCTCCAGGTCGGAGGCAAATATGCAACCTTCTTCCTATAATGTGCCCGCTCTCCCCGTGCTGCTCTAACATTAATCTTCATTGTTAKACTGTTGGAGTCAGGCTCTGTTTAATAATAAAACTACACAATACTGTCCAGTTATTAGGGTCTCATGCGTATCTTTGGAACATTATAAGACCTGTGAAACTCTTATAAATTCTGCTAAAATTGGGGGTATTGTCTTTGGACCTAAAAAAACCTCCATGTCTATTCATACTACTGTTATTAGCACTGCTTATCAGGAAACCTTAAAATTATTTTTGACAAATTAAAAAGACACTTAAATACATATTAAACTAGTCTCTATGGCTGCTTTCTTTCACCTGTACAATAATTAAAAACTCAAGAGTTCTGAACTAAAACAGGTTCATAAATTTATACTTTACTGTTACAGTTTTAGCTCATTATCCAAACAGTTGGCTGAGTTGTCCTTCTGATCCAGAATACTACAGCAAGAATTTTAAAAGGAGCTGCGAGTAAGGATTACATGTCTCCTGTTAAAACGTCATTATTGATTCCATAAAGTTCAAAATTTTATTTAAAATCCTTCCTAATTCACACAAGCTCTTAATGACTTAGCAGCATGTTTGCAGCATGCACCTCACAAAAACGTTCTGCTCTTAAGATGCTGTTTTTTTACGTCAGTTTTTACAGTCTCTGGCTTTTAGTTAAGCTCCTCTAGAATCAGCTTCTTCTCTTTTGCACGTGAGATTCTGAAACACTCTTTGGCTTTTAAACAAGCTCAAATCAGTTTTGATTGTTATTCCTAATGTTTATTTCATTTTTAATATTGTGTTGAACTGCCTGTGCTGTACCTTTTTCATTTTTTTTGCTTTATGTACTTTTATTTATTTATTATTATTCTTTTTTGTATTTGATCTATTTTTCCCTATGTCTAACCTTAACTTATGCCTTTTTAAAATTTGTTTTATTGCAGTGATTTAGTTATCATGTCTTGATTTTGCTTTAATTATTTTGAGTGTCACTTGTGCTTGAAAACTATTTGGATAGAATGCAACATGTTTGAAAATATGATTTTTTTTAATAATCATTTTGTTGTCTTTTTTTTCTCTTGCAGACTTTTATAGTACTCAACAAAGGGAAGGTCATCTTCAGATTCAGTGCCACATCTGCACTTTATATAATTAGTCCTTTTCACTTCATCAGATCAATTGCTATAAAAATTTTAGTTCATGCATATCCTTTTTTCTAAAGCCTTCTGTGTGTGTCTGTGTGTGTGCGCCCTTTTTTTCTACTTGGTGGGGACAATTTTTCCAGAAAATGCAGCCTTGTGGGGACTGAGGGCTCCTTGTGGGGACCACAGCTTCGGAGGCTGATTTATTTATTTATTTATTTATTTATTTATTTATTTATTTATTTATTTGTTTGTTTATTTATTTTTGTGGGGAATTAGTAGGTACCTGTGAGGTTAATTTTAGGGTAAATGGTTGTAATAACCAGTAAATGAATGCACATCAATGCAAAGTCCCCACGAGGATAGAAGAACAAACGTGTGTGCATGTCTTTTTTTTTGCCTTTAATGTCTTTTTTACGCATTTTGTAAAGGTGCTTTACAAAACTATTTTGTTTCATTCATAGCTGATATTTGATTAAAATAATTTTAAGTCAACATACTAATAATCAGACTTTGTTATTAAAGCCTGAGATAAAGTAAAGTTAATGCTGTAACTCAGGTTTCTGTCTATATGGTTAAACTACTGGTAACATTCCTGACATTGTATATACAGTATATACAGTATACACACACAC